CCTGCAGGTTTTCAGAGCTGGGGGCCCTGTGTGAGTCACAGGCCCAGAGGTGGGGGAAGGGCTTGGTGTGTTGTCCCCAGCCTTGGCCAGTCCACCCCCAGGGAGCAGGGCATGGGGCACAAAGCCTTCAACTTGGGCAGAAAATATCCCCTTCCCCTTCTGGCCGAGGGGAAAGGCCAGGGTGTGAGCGTGCTGCCCACAGCTGCCGTGGCGGTGGGTGCAAGTCTGGCCAGCTCCACACTGCCCTTCAAAGCCCTGTCCGTGTCCACTGCTGCCCGGTCATGGCGAGATGCGCTGCCTGTGTGGGCAGGGGGAGTGTCTTCCTGTGGTGGGGGCTTAGGAGGCTTCAGGTTTTCCCCTGCAAGCCAGAGGCTCTGCACCGTGGGGGGCCCCACGGCGGTGGGGCTGGGTGGCGGCCGTTGCAGCACCCCAGCCTTGCGCGTCCCCCTGGGTTGTGTCCATCCCTGGTAGCAGTTCTTTGCTGTGTGTCCTGACCCCGGGCAGCTCTCTGGCCATGTGCTGGAGACATTGAGAATGTCCTGGAGGTGCTTGGGAGCGCCTGGGTTCGCTGAGCAGAGACAGGTCTCCTAAGGGCCCCCACCTCCTCCCACTGATGCACCCCAAGGTGGTCAGCACGGCTCGGCCTGTGAGAGCTCCCTGGGGCAGGCGGGTGGGGACCCCCTCAGTGCGACTGACTGACTGGTCAGAGTGGTTCCGTGAATGCTGGTGCCGGTGGGGGCGAGGGCCAGCAGGGGGGCGTTGCTGTAACCCGGCCCCCCTCGCTGCAGTCTGAACTGGTGCCCTGGCCCCGGCAGCCCCAGCCCTCACCATGTCACTTGGCTCCCTGTGCAGGTGCCGAGGCCTGGGCAGGATGTGAGCGGAGTGGATCCCAGCACAGTGCTAGCAGGTCAGTGTCCCCCGCCCCCACAGGCCCGGTCTTCCCACACCAGGCAGAAGGGGTCTGGGGCTGCGGGGCCAACCTGGCTCCGCCCTGCCCTCCCCCCTCACTCCTGGTCTCGCTGTGTGTACTGACCCCTCACTCCCGCCCCGCAGCCCCCTGCCAGCCCAGCCCTGGGCTCCCCCCAGCTCTGCCGGTTCTCCTCACTCCCGCCCCACAGCCCCTGCTAGCCCAGCCCTGAGCAGGCCCAGGCCTTCCTAGGGCCCTGACCTCAGGAAGGATTAACCCTTTGCTTCCCAGCCTTGTTTCCCCCTCTCTGCCCCTGAGCAAACGGCCCATTCCCCGCTGCATCCCGCTTGTCTCGTGGGGAGTGTGATCTCCGTGTAGGTGCCAGGGCAGGCACGGGCACTGGAGCCAGCTCCACCCTGGAGGCCTGGCTGAGCTGCACAGGGGGCAGCAATGCAGCGCCTGTCTTGGTGACCCTGTTTCCTTCCCACAGGCTATGGGTACGAGGCAGCGGCGCGGGGCTGCTTCCAGGAGGCCGTGCTCTTCTTCACTGAGGCTGTCAAACTCAACCCTCGGGAGCACAGGTAGGAGCGTGGGGGGTGCTCTCTGGGGCAGGGGGCGGAGTGTTTCTCGGGGCGGGGGGGGGGGTTGTGTCTCTCAGGGGGGGGGGGCTGTGGGGCGGGGCTGGGGGGGGGGGGGGGGGGGGCTCTTTGGGGCAGGGCTGGGGGGCTCTCCAGGCCAGAGGCGCAGCTGGCAGCCTGTGCAGCTCCCTCCCGGCCCCGGCTCTGTATCCCCAGCCCGACTCCCTCTAGGCCTGCACGGTCTGCTGGAGCCTCACCCCACGCAGGTCCAGCGCTGCCGGGTGCTTTGGGGCTGGGGCAGGGGCAGGGTTTGGGGCAGGCTCTGTGACTGGCCCAGCGCTGCCGGGCGCTTTGGGGCTGGGGCAGGGGCAGGGTTTGGGGCAGGCTCCGTGACCGGCCCAGCGCTGCCGGGTGCTTTGGGGCTGGGGCAGGGGCAGGGTTTGGGGCAGGCTCCGTGACCGGCCCAGCGCTGCCGGGCGCTTTGGGGCAGGGGCAGGGGCAGGGTTTGAGGCAGGCTCCGTGACCGGCCCAGCGCTGCCGGGCGCTTTGGGGCTGGGGCAGGGGCAGGG